TGAATCCAGAGTGACTCTATTAGAGCTAGTTCAGATTTTCACTGCTCGAGATGGATTGTGGTCCACAGGTATTAGACCGAGCAACAAGGGACATGTTAGTCCTCCAGAGCCACCGTTCTGCTCGCAGGAAGCAGCAGCTCTAGCACAAAACTAGCAAAAGCCTGGGCCGGAGCTGCTGCTAAACTCCATTGACTCTTGACAACGCTCCTGCGGCAGTCGGGGTCCCGGCCAAAACCCAAGCAAGCCAACAAGGCTGCACTATCCCGTCAAGTGCACTCTCGAGTGAACTGCGACACACCTGGAAAACCCGAACCGTAACAGCGTCGCATCCAAACACGCCCCGGCTCCAGACAGAGTCTCCCTAGAGCAAGATCACTGTGCTCCTCTTGTGTGGGAAGGACTTTCTCCAGGCCTGCCGGAGGAAACAAGCAGCGCCTTTGTAGAGAGGCACGCTGCCGTGCGTACCCTGGAGCCCGCGGATGCGCCAGACCGCTGGGCAGACAGGGGCTGCTCCAAGTCGGCAGGGGACTTGATATTTTCTTTAAACCGGACACATGCTAACAGTCTGCGGGCTTTGCTTTGGAATGGCAAATTAATGGACGCATTGATTGGACCGAGAGGCTGGACAAAGGCTGACGAGCTGTGCTCGTTTTTTTAGCATGTGTTTGTGGATGGCTTGCGCGCCATGGCCAAGTCAATATTGTGTTAGGGAAGCTCACGAAGCGGCACACGCGGCGCGGCTGGGGCTGGCTCCAGCTGTGCTCCGCCAACCTGCAGGCACGTTGCCATCAGGACACGTTAGCAGGGTCTCGGCAGCATCCTACGAGGCTGCGATTCTCGTGCTGCATCTCGGCGCTTTGCGCCAAGGGAAAACTTGCGGGAAGTGACTTGCAGCCACTGCCGCTCTCACTGGTTCCCTGCACAGACCACGGTGTGCCTCCCACAGTGGCACACGCCGTTATAGAAACAAATGGCAGGGACAACTTTTAGGCCACAGCTAAATCTCTGCTTCACTCAGCAAAACACTTGCTTGTCTTTCACGGACCTACACAGCTTCACGGCTGGGCTGAAGGCACATGGGACGCCTCTGTGCTTGGGGGTGAGGGCGTTTTAATTAGAGCGGTTCCTGGAGAGTGGCTCTAATTAAAATTGCTCACTGTCATATGTATTAAGCGGGTTTAAAAATGGCTCTGGGATGCTTTATCTAAACCTCATTTGGCAAGGTTTAGATAAAGGGCCCCAGTGGTCACTGTTAAACCCATGGGAGCTTATACACATGACAACGAGGTCACACTGGAGCGTTTTAATGAGCACGTGGAGCAGACTCGATTAATCGAGTTCTAACTAGAACACCAACTACCACGTGTATAGGCAGCCGCATAGCGCGCCACAAAGCCCCTTGGCTTTATGGATTTGTGTGTTTCCCCTGGCACAAATCTCCAGGAAATGGGTTCACGGATATGGACCCCATAAATCTCTCGGCAGAACCTGAGCTGTTTGATGGGCTGGCAGCACAGAAAGCAGTCATTGTACAGTGCCAGGAAGCAGCTCGCTTAGGCCAGGAGTGTTTGTGCAGGAAACTTCTGTGACGGAGCAGTGCTGCGACGGGGAGCCGGCAACACCGGTGGGAAGGAGAGTGAGAAGCAGAAGCCCAGCAAGCAGTGGGGATCAGGGGAAGAGAGATGAAGCGAAGAGGCTGCCCCATGAAAGTTGTGGGCTGAGGCATCCGCTGCATCCAATCCAGCAAGGACGGCTGCTTCTCTGCTCTGCCCATGGCTTTACACTCCTGCAAAACCATCCGGCACAGCCTTTGGAAGTGGGGGCTTTCCTTTGCTCTCAGCAAATCAGGAAAGGCGGCAATCCTTCTAGCAGATTGCTGACTTACTCATTGCTACCCACTTAAGGCTCCCCCCTTCCCCTCACCCCCATGTGCGGTGTTGTACAAATTCCCTCGAACAGGCTTCTTGTGGCGCCAAAGAATTTAATGCAACTTTGTGATTTTTTTTCTTCCCCTGAAAACAGGGCATGGTCATTAGACCCTCAAACCGTGCAGCGCTGCAATGATTAACCCACCACAGGCAGGGTGTTGTAACTGGCTTATCAGCAGCTGTTTTTTCTCCTGGGCTGGGCAAGCCTTATTCGGGCCTGTTTTCCCTTTGGTAAACACCCAGTGTCACTCCCGTCTCAGAACTCTTTGCAAGAATTTCAGTGCAACCAGTTTTCCCAAAGCGAAATGATCCGAGTCCACTGGTCTCTCTGCCCAGAAAGGGCTCCCATAGGGAACTCTTTGGCTCCTCCATGGCTCTAAGCTTACCTGGCAGCTGGGGGTGTCCCCTCTTTTCTGCCCAGACCAGCCTCTTGCACACGTGCCTATTGCGAGATCAGTGCCAGACCTGCAGAAATCATGGCTCAGACCCCACCAAATCATAGGAAAACAGGGCTGTGCTCTGTGAAAGGAGAGCAGGCAGGGCAATGCAGGGAAGGAAGGGAGCAGTGCCATGGTCCCATGCCCTCCCAGCCCCTTTTAGCATGGCCTGGACCCAGGCGGGAATAAGCAGAGCTGGTGGTGGAAGGCTCTTGGCCCCCTTTACACCCCTGCATCAGGCTCATCTCACTCTGGATAGGGACGTGTCCAAGCTGAACTCTTGAGATGGCTTCTTTCAAACTTGGTGCATCATAAATTGGAAGAGGGCCCTCCCCATCCTCGCTGATGAGCTAGCTGCCCTGGTGCTACTCTATGGGTCCCTGGAAGGGGCACGGCTTGCATTCGCTCAGTCAGTCCAGAGATGCCATCACCTATTTCACGGTAGCTGGTTTGCGTGCTTCGCTGAGAGAGGAGCTGCAGTCACAGTCACAGTCGGGACCAACAAAAGTTTGCGTGGCCCTGCTAAGCCATGGTCTTTATTCACCCAGGGAGCCCTAGGCCTGCAGCTGAGTCCTACCTATGGCTATGTTCATCACAGCCCATCGTTCCTCTTCATGGCAAGGCTTAACCCGAATGACGCTCTGGGGGGGACTCTATGGTGCAGGGTCTGGTTGAATTTCTCACAGAGCAGGTGTTTGGCACCACATCACTGCCTTCCTGCCTGAAGCGATGATGCCCCCAGGGGGAAACAGAGGGAGGAAATCTCAGTGTCTATCAACACCCAATTAAAGATGTTTTGTTGCAAAAAACCCTGTTGGTCTAATAAAAGATATCATCTCTACTATGAGTCCTGATTAGCAACACCCAGAGCTCTTGAAGTTGGCTCCCTCTGCCATGAATCTGGGCAGGAGGAGAGAGCAGGAGACAGCGCTCCCGCACAGACCAGGCTGCTACAGCCAGTAGGTCCCAGATCCCAAAGAGCAGGGAAAAGGAATCAGGACTCATGGTAGAGGTGATACCTTTTATTTGACCAACTAGATGTTTGCAACAAAAATTCTTTAATTTAAGGAATCTTTTTTATTGTGCAAAAATCTAGTTGGTCTAATCCAAGATCCCATCTCTGCTACAAGTCCTGATTCCTTTTGCCTCTAGACCAACATGGCTACAACCCGGATACCTGAGAAAGTGAAGGGAACGCATGCGAGAACGGGAGCTAGCGATAACGCTTGTGGGTCTGAAGTTCTCCGTGCTGCTGAGGAGAGCCCCGAAATTGCCGCTTGATTGCACTTGCGTCTTTTAATCGTGGCTGTCCACAGGTTGACTGGCATATAAATGTCTTTACCAGGTAAAGACATTTACTGGGTTGAGAGACTCATGCGCGGACATTTACTGGGTTGAGAGACGCATGCGCGTCTTCTTCCCTGGGATGCTGTCTCTTCGTCTTGGGTGTTTAATTGGGGGGGGGGGTGTTGGCGTTTTCCCCATCTGCAGACGGGCAGGGAGGTTGGCACGCAGGAAAAGGGATGCCCATGGGAAATGAGGTCTGTCAGTGCCAGGAGACAAGAGCATGGCATGGGGAGGTAGAGAAGGCTGAGGGTAGGAAGGGGAGCACTGGGGGGTCAAAGTGGGAGGCTGGGAGGCGAGGGCAGATTATATTAAAACAGAGAGGAGGGAGGGAGGGACATTCCTAAAGCACGGGCCAGTCTCCCTAAGACCCCGTCTATCCTGTCCACAGACCCCTGGCGCCTCCTTGTAGCCTGAACAACCACTGCAACATCCTCCCGTGCCGTGAGCCAGGGCCAGCAATGCGGCAGGATCCCCGCAGGTGGAGGTGATGCCCCCCTCATGCTCCACCTGGGATGCTGAGCAGGCAGAAAGGTTTGCTTTAAAAAGCAGCTGTACTAAGCCTCCACACAGAGGCCAAGGGACTCTCTAGTTACACATGCAGCCACATGGCCCTGGAGCACCTGGTTTTGGGGTCAGACCTAGTCCCCTAGCACGTGTAGGTCCTGACCACGAGCTCCGCATATGGGAAAAGACTGCAGAGGCCTATGCTGCTACAAGTAAGGGAGGTTGCACACTGCCAGGTAAAAAGGCACAGGTGATGGCAGGGGTCACCTCTCCACACACAAGTGGTAACAAGGGGCACTTTGGTAAGTGCTTGAAACATTTCAGAGCTCCGTCCTGTGTTAGCTGCTTGGGAGCCTAATTCTCTTTTACTTCCTGTACAACTTACACCGCAAAGTCCCCGGTTGTGTTTGAAAATGAAACTTGGGCTCCTAAATCGCTCCAGGACTTGGGGAAAACTCTTCCCAAATCTAGAGTGGGTGGAATGGAAGTGGCTGCTAGGATAACACGCAGTTTTGCTCTTACCTCCTCTTAACTCCTCACTCTTTGCTTCAAGCAGGTTCAAAATGGTACAAAATGCAAAGAAAAAAAGAAAAAAAAAGAAAAAACAACAAACAACCTCCCTCTCTCCAAATGAAACAGCCAGACAGACTATTTTGGACAAGCGGGTCCAAAAAATGGCTATGGCCAACTCGAAACCGACCCCTTTTCTAATGCTCCAAGGGCAGCAGGGGAAGTTCAACTGCCCGAAGCGGCTCTCGCCAGCTTTCATGCCGACGGTACTTACTTGTGCTTGTGCTAGTGCCGATGGTATTGATGGTCGTGGGGACAGAAGAAGAAGAGTACAGGGGCAAATGGCCATTCTCACAGCCTAGATTCTTGTCCTGCCAGCTGGAAGCGCTAACACTGATCCCAGAATCGCGTGAGTTTTGCCACCCATTGAGCTTATCGTCCGAGTTCTGTCTTTGGTGATAGTAGTGCGTCTGTCCATAATCCACTGAATCAGACCGGCCTCTGTGTTGGCTGCCGAAGCTCCCTGACGTGCGATCCTCCAAGTGATTCAGCCACATGGCGAGAGCCCCCCGGTCTTCCAAGGACGTGGCTGGGTGTATCAAAGCGTAGGACAACAGCTGCCGGCTCTCTTCTATGTGTTGGTTGTGTTCAATGGAGTGAGCCAGGATTTTAGGCAACAGTTTCATGTATTCTACTTTTGCTTCGATGTTTCCCGGTTTCAGTAAAGGCAGGTGGGTTAACAATAGGGAAATCACTTTATCCTTGGATTCCTGCTGCCACTGGTTAATGATTCCTGGTGGGGGAGAGATAAAAAAAAAAGAAAAAGAAAGTTGTGAAATCAGCAAACACTCCTAACAGATAAATATATAGATTCCCACAAGGTAAATAGAGCAGACCCCCCCCCCCCCCGCCCCCCCCTCCCGCGTCCCCCCCCTGCGCTTCCGGACAAA